ACCACCCAGCCTCCACCACCTTGCACCCACCCGGCACCCAACCTGCACCACCCAGCCTCCACCACCTTGCACCCACCTAGCACCCACCCTGCACCCTTTCTGGACCCCAGAGCCTGCACTAGCCTGCTCTCACTTAGCACTCATGCTGCACCTATCCTGCACCCACCCAGCAAACCAAGGCAAGCGCAGCCATTCCCATGGGATCCGAGGTGCCTCCAGCAGCCGTCAGGCGATGACCCAGTCCTTCCCCACCCTAGAAAGAAGTGAATCAACCCATGCTCAGCTTCCCTGCTCCCAAACCACACCAGGCTCCTGCTGCCCTGTCTTCAGGGAGCTGAGCCCTGACAGGCTCATCACAGTTGAGCTGCCAACCTCATTCACACCATAGCACTAGCGGTGGAGGTACAGCCCCTTTCCAAAACGCACAGCCTCCAGGTCTAACGGCCAGGCATTCCCATCAGCCGCGCGCTGGGCTTTGCTCCTGCGACGGGAACGGATGGGGCGACTTGGCAAACACAGCGGTGCCCCGACTGCTGCCCAGAGCGCGGGCAGGGAGCGGTGGAGAGGCAGTAGGAGAGGCGGAGGCGGAGAAGCCGGCTGGCCGTGCTCTCCGGGAGATGGCAATTTCCACTTCTAACGGCTGGATGGGGCCAAGTCCCCCGGGGGCAAGCCCCACAGAAAGGCAGGCACCGCTTTCCCAGAGACCCCCCGCCTCCAGGGACTCCCTGCAGTGCCTTTGCAAGGGGATCTCTGTGCGGACGGTGATGGGAAAACAATCTTTCCTTGCATTTTTTTCCCCCTCTACCTGCAGGTTTTTTCCATTCAAAACTGAGGAATCATGAAACAGAGACTCTTTGGCCTTGTGTACCCAAAATATGGGTCTCTGGCATGTCCCCTCAACCAAAGGAGGCTCCTCTGTCAGCAGCCAAGGAAACCAGGTCGGCTGCAGATGTGTCCCTGGAGAAACGAGGCCAGTGTGGATTCTCTGCTGTCTAATACAGGGTTAGTCTCCCCCCTGAAGCCTTTCCCTCAGCAGGGTGCTGGCCCCATCGCTTGCCTTCAGCCAGACACGGATTTGCACAAAACTTGTAGGAACAAAAATCTGCTTGAAATTGTCCGATGTGGTCAGAAGGTACCAGCAACGGGGACAACGCTGCGATGGGCACATGGGCGGGACGGCACGGTGGCGGGAGCAGGGCCCGCTCCTGAACTGCGGGCACCCGCTTGCACCCTCCAGCACAGCCCAAGTGTCTTAATAGGCCCAAAGGAGATCTACAGACCACAAAGCACCCCACGGCTATCCAAAAATACCAAGGACAATTAAGAGTTCAGGGTTCAGCCTCGGCTCCAGAGCTCCCTGCCCCGGGGGCCTATGGGAAAAAAGAAAGGGCCCCCCCCCCCCTTTTGGCCAAGAAGGTGTCACCAGGGACTTTTGGGCACCCACCTCCCCCAGGTCCATACGACACCCTGTACAGCCCGGGAAGGGTCAGCGGTGGCCAGGGAGGGCAGCGACCCGAGACAGGGGCTGACAGCCGTGGGCCAGAAGTGCTACTGCGCGATGGTGGCAGGCGTGGAGATTTATAACGCATCTGCCTCCCTTGCCTTTGCCTGCGATTCTGCGCTCGGTTTCAAAGCCAGAGAGTGATTTTTACATGTTAAACAAGATCCCCCCCCCCAACCCTTCAATGCATTTTGTTGTCTGCTGAGTTCAGGATGCAACAAAAGCATCTTCCAGCACAGAAAGCACAGCTTTCTTCCTATTTTGCTTTCCAGCTCTTAAAGAAACGAGGAGATACCTGGGGAGGGGATACGTTATTGAACACAGCGCCAAAAGCCCAGCTGCTCCCGAGGTGAGACGGCGTGGGAGGCGGCGCGGGATGAAAAGCCAGGGGCCAAGCGTGGACATGGCCCTGTGTCCACCAGAAAGGTCCATAACCAACAGGTTTCCCCTCACTGAAGCCACCAACGGCCATTGAATCGCTCTGGTTGTCACCTGGGTTTTAAGCGGGCCGTGAGGCACCAGCGGGCCCTGGGCCGGAGAGCATCGACGTGGCACAGTGAGTGGGGTCTCTTTTTCAGTTTGCAAACGAGAAAGGATCCTGTTTTCCGTTCAAAGCATGTCATTTCATTCCCCTTGCAAACGCCCCTCCGGCCGCACCGGGGCAGGCAGAGCACCGTGCCGCCGGGGAAGACTTGGTCCCGCTCTGCCGAGGGGGACCCTCTGCTTCGCTCTATGCTGAAGGCGATTTCCCAGCAATTCCCCCACCCGCAGCCCGTGCCGGCTGGGCAGCACACGCTCCATCTCGGCCCCGCAAAGCTGGGTGCAAAGCACCTGCCCGGGACGCGTGACCCCCCCGTCTGGGGGTCTGAGTCCGGACCCCCGGCCCAACTCGGTGCGCCGACGCGCTCTTGGCACTCTGCGCCGGGGCGATTTAACACCACGTCTGTGTTAAGACCTTTGGGCCCACAAGGCCGGTCAGCCCTGTCCCCTCTCCATCCCCGCTAGATCGGGCCTTAAAAGCCTCCAAGAGTCGCAGGCGC